AAAATAAGCTAGAAGAGGAGACTTCGGGTGTTCCGTCGGGCCTCGATAAGCGAGTCGAGTATTAACGAAAAGTGCTTTCGAGAAAGCACGAGAAGAGGAGAAGCCGTTTGTGGCATCGATTTATTATTTCGAGGTCCCAATCACTTTTATTTAGAGAAACTCGAGTTCAAGGGTGCATATTAGTAAAATAAATGAAAAATCTGTTTACGTGGGTCCCGCAAGGTTGCATGTTATTTCGGTTTACCGAGAATCGAGTTGGGGTGTGTAGATAATTCAGGCACGATGTTATGTGGGGCATTTATTGAGTATTTCGGAGTTTCGAGCATTTAATTAGAGAAACTTGAATTCCCGTAGGAATAGTAGAAAAATAAGCGAGAAGAGGAGACTTCGGGTTCCGTCGGGCCTCGATAAACGAGTCGAGCAATAACAAAAAGCATAATTGAATAGAGGGAGTCGTTAGCTATGTATATGAGAAAACGAAACTTATTTTCGAGTATAGATGAGCCAACACGATCTCGAAACATAAAATACATACTAAATATTAATTTGTTTCCATTAATTTTAAAATATAAAAGTATTTTCAAAATACGTTTTAGTTATTATTTTTGTAAAATACGTATTGTTATAATACGTTTTGTAACACCCCATCTTATCGTAAAATCAGAGTGCAAAAATTTCGCAAAGTTATTTAAAAATAGAATCTTTTACTTTGCGAAAACTGATTTGGGGTGCTACCTTAAAAAAAACGTGACTTAATTTGGAAAACCGTTATCTTAAATTTTAATAAAATCATAATAATACTGAAAGCATAATGTTTTCCAAAAGTCCGGTCAAAACATAAGTTCGTCAAAAGCCATCATCAACGGAAACGTAAATTGTCATAATATATACACAGTCAAAACATAAAAGTCCTGAAGCCTTCGTCAGCTCACGCTCCCTGCCCGACATCCTGACCTGAAAAATATGATAACAATGGGAAATGAGCACTATGGCACTGTGCTCCGTGGAAACTCATACTAATGTAAACATTGAAAATAATAACAACATCATGATATCGGCATATACATAACCTCAACATGAAACCGGTAATAACATGAACATGAATCTTGATATAGGATATTATCTGTATAAAGACGAACCGATTTGGTGAGCCGGCTGAGAAGAGCGGACCGGGAGCAAACCAAGCCGAAAGGCGGGAATCCACGTGATCGAGCAGCCCAAGGCTCGACCACACAAGCGATCGAACAATCCAAGGCTTGACTACACAGGCGATCGAGCAGCCCGATGCTCGATCAGACTGGTCGAGCTACCCATCAATCGATCAGATGAGTGATCGAACAAGCTGAGTGATCGAGCAAGTTGACCGACATAGG